ACCTGAGCAGAAACCACCTGTCACCTCGACATCAGCAGCAACAGAGCAGCACAAACAACACCGGCAACGCGATCCACATTCTCCTTGCGAGAGCTTTCCTTCTAATGTACTGTAATAGCTGCACAGGCATCATATGACGAGCCAAGGAAGCCCTTGAATTACTCTGAGAGCACTCACACCAATAACTGGCATGAGAGTGATATCATGTTGTGTTTAGAGAGAACCTTTAGAGCACTGCAGTGCGTCCCTGTTGTGCACTGTATTTCAATCTGTATTTGAAACAAGTTCACCGGCATCATTACTTGCAGTGAGGGTCGGAGCTGTCGAGCTGGTGCAGATATTGTTAATTTCATTGTGTGCCTGCTGTGGGGATGAAATGATTAAACTTGTGCCAGAGTGAAGCTTCGGAGAGGACAGATGGCAACAGACCCAACGTCTCCCTGTGGGACTTCCTCATCTGCACTGTATTGATCTGATCTGTCTATCCCTCTTCTCTCTCTCTCTCTCTTGTTACTGTACGTCCTCCCTTCATCCTCTGTTCAAGGCACACATCTTCACATCTCTCAGAAGAAACAAGACACATGTATTTTATCATTAAACATTCTGCCTGATTGAATATGAGAACCTGATGATGAATCAGATGGATAGACTGAATATGGAGACAAGTCATGCATGTGTTCTTTTCCTTTTTGCCATTTACCCCCTTCAGAATCACAAGTTGCTTCGCTGTTGTTTTATGTGATCAGAGGGGATGTTAAACTGTCTCTTTGACATGTAGCTGAACCCACAAATGCGCACATTAAAAAAAAGACATATTTACAGTTAAATACAAACAAATGTGTTTGTTGTCTTTCTTTCCGGTGTTCTTTGTCTACTTCAGATGAAGATGCTTCAAAGTTTCCTTCACCAGATGTTTCTCTAAAATCTGTTATGACATTTTTATCACCATGAGCCTCCAAAATTCAGAATGAATGAATGAACAAGTTTCACCGTGCGGATGGTATGTGTGCTGACATGTGTGATATTCTGTCTGACATGGATGTCTGTGGTTCCATGCAGCACAATGGCTGTGCATTTACGTTTGTGTTTGCTCATCCCCACTGCATCATTAATAAAAGCTTCATTTGTGTCTCTGTTCTGTCCTCTGAATTGACTTTTGTATTGATCAGATTTTGGGCAGACGCAGTTGGGTGTAAAACACTGGCGTAAAAAATGAGCCTCAGGCTGATGACCGTCAATGCAGCCCATTATGCATTCAGACACACAGTGATACGGCAGATGACACACTCGCAGACACTAAAGTAACCCGCTGACTTCAAACACCGAAGACACAGAGGTGCAGGAATTTAATTTAGGTTGTACAGTATCACTGTAGGGCTGCAAGGTGACTCTGTGGTTAACACCGTTGTCTCACAGCAAGAAGGTCACTGGTTCGTGTCCCGGTGAGGACACCCGGGATCTTTCTGAGTGGAGTTTGCATGT